CGGTTAATATGGGCAAAAGTGAGGAAGCACCTCTTCTGCTCTTACATATGAACCAGAGTGTGGCCTGAGCTTACAGCAGCAGCAAGTGGAAGATCCTCTGTGACCCAGTTCATCTTAGTCTTTCCTAATGAAAGTAAAATCTGGGAGCCAACTGCTCCTTCTGAGAAGCTGTGTGTGGGGAGAGAAGTGACACATTGCATGTATTCACCCTGAGTCTCATGTGTCTGTTATTCTTTTGCTGTAGAGGGGCTGGGCAGGGTCCTTCTTGATCTAGTAAGGGTGTATGTCTTGGATCGTGCCTTCCTTGTTCACCTTTTCCCTTTCTACTTTGTGTTGCAGGGATGCCTACAGCCTATGACCTCAGCAGTGTGATTGCTGGTGGCACCAATGTTGGCCACAACAACCTTATTCCTCTAGGTGAGTGTCTTTGCAGGACGGAGCCGGTTGTATCCCAATGGATTACAGTCTTCTCCATTGGGATGAAGGCCCTGTTTTGTTCTAAGCACTCAGATTTTGGGGGTGTGCCTTTAGTGGGCTCAGGGCTTAAAAGGAGGCCTTTGAAAGAGAGACACCCTTGCTTCATCTGATTGCTGGACGCCCTGACTGTCTGGTGCAATTGCCGTGACCGAATCCTCTTTCCTGTTCCTTTTTGCAGATTGCATTAGCCTTATTCAATTGTGAAAGAATAGTGCCATCTATATAAATAAAAATGTTATGTTCGTTTGTGGGATTAACAGAACTCAAAAACCACTGGACGAATTGACACCAAATTTGGACACAAGACACCTAACAACCCAATGTATGTCCTTCACTCAAAAAATTGATTTTGTCATTTGGGAGTTGTAGTTGCTGGGATTTATAGTTCACCTACAATCAAAGAGCATTCTGAACCCCACCAATGATGGATTTGAACCAAACTTGGGACACAGTTCTCCCATGACCAACAGAAAATACTGGAAGGGTTTGGTGAGCAGTGTCCTTTGGTTTTGGAGTTGTAGTTCACCTACATCGAAAGATGACTGTGGATTCAAACAATGATGGATCTGGACCAAACTCTACACGAAGACTCAATATGCCCAAATGTGAACACTGGTGGAGTTTGGAGGAAAGAGAATCTAGACATTTGGGAGTTGTAGTTGCTGGGATTTATAGTTCACCTACAATCACAGAGCATTCTGAATCCCACCAACGATAGAATTAGGCCAAACCTCCCACACAGAACCCCCACGTGGGCCACAGCAACGCATGGCAGGGGACGGCTAGTATATAAATAAAAATGTAATGTTGGTTTGTGGGATTAACATAACTCAAAAACTACTGGACAAATTGACTCCAAATTTGGCCACAAGACACCTACTAACCCAAGAGTGACCACCACTAAAAAAAATTGATTTTGTCATTTGGGAGCTGTAGTTGCTGGGATTGTTAATCCCACAAGCGAATATTGCATTTTTATTTATATTGACTACTATACAATTATATTGTAATATTATCTATCTATATATAAATAAAAATGTAATGTTAGTTTGTGGGATTAACATAACTCAAAAACCACTGGACGAATTGAGACCAAATTTGGACACAAGGCACCTATCAGGCCAATGAGTGACCATCACCTCTAAAACACACACACACACAAAACCCGAGTGGAGCAGACTTAAAACCCCCAAAATACACCATATATACATTATATATACACACACACACATACATATACACACACTGGACAGAGAAATCTTTCTTTGGTACTTGAACTTTGCATTAACAAAAATCCAGGAATTTTTGCTCATCAATCAACAAAATGCAGACAGATGATCCAAAACTGGTTTCTTTCATAAGAACATACACGTAATTCCCATGATAAGTTACGTCTGTGTAAGAATTACTAAAAGCTGTATGTACTTAAGGGGCTTGGCAGATTTTAAGAGTAAGTAGCCTTTTGGGGGAGATTGGGCCTATCTGAGTGTTTTTCTTTCTTCTTTCTCAAGCAGCCAACACTGGGATTGTCAATCACACCCATTCCCGGATGGGATCCATCATGAGCACAGGAATTGTCCAAGGTAAATTTGCTCCAACCTTGGTGGGAATTGAGGTGGGACTTGAGCCTTGGAGGGAATAGAGACTGTTAGAGCTTTGCTGTTTTTTTTGTTTTTTTTTGGTCGTGTTAGGAGTGACTCCTGGTGTGAGAGAATTGGCCGTCTGCAAGGACGTTGCCCAGGGGACGCCCAGATGATTTTTGATGTTTATCATCCTTGTGGGAGGCTTCTCTCATGTCCCCACATGAGGAGCTGGAGCTGATAGAGGGAGCTCATCTGCCTCTCCCCGGATTCGAACCCACTGCACCACCGGGGGATCCTTAGAGCTTTGCTGTGACAATAGTTGGCACCTCACCTTTACATGTAGTTAAGCTGAGAAAAGACAAAGCTCCTAATTGCACATGTTGAACTGGTTACTATTTGTGATGGTTTGGGCTTATATGCAATCCAGCTTTTGTGGTTCAAATTAAAATTAAGCTCGAAATCCCAAAAGTACAGATGATGAGAGCAGTAAATATCTACAGCAACTAATTTAGATATTGGACTATGTTTTGAGATGGCTTAGATTCCTGTTTTTAACAGGAGAGTATCTGAGAGAGGTGACTAGCTACCTAACTATCATATGAGCTTTCCATACACAATCGCCTTACTGTCTCTGATTCACAAAGTGGACAAAGAAAAGATGTTCACACTGCTTATCAAGACAATTGGAGGATGTGGCTCCTGCCTACCTGGAGCTTTTGGCTGTAGGTAGGTAAGAGGCAGACCTGCAGAACCTGTGGCCCTCCAGGCATTTGGGACTTTAGCTCCTAGAATTCCTGGCAATTGGACAAGCTGGCTAGTGCTTTGGGAGTTGGAGTCCCAAACATCTGGTGGGCCACAGCTTGTGTGCAGGCCTGTTCTCAGGAGCCACGGCACAGTCTCTTTACTTTTTGACTTCTACCAATTTGATTTGGGTTCTCTCCAAATCAAATATTGAAATCCTGTTTCCAAATATACTATGTTTATTTGGGCCTCTATTTGTGCTTTCTTTTATGACTGTGGTGGCTCTTTTTGCTCATATGAAGGTGAGTCTGACTCCCTCCTCTTTACTTTCCAGGCTCATCCAGTGGTCAGAGTGGAGGAACCTCAAGCACTCACTACCCTGTCAACAGTCAGTTCACTATGGGAGGGCCGGCCATTTCCATGGCATCTCCTATGTCCATCACCACCAACACAATGCATTATGGGAGCTAAGAGACTCCCATGCCTGATCCTCTCTGAACTGACAGCACCAGGAAACCAAATGAAGAAAAGTCCTCCTTGCCCATCTGCCTGCTGCACCTCAACAGTTTGGCAATCGCTTCTCTGGATCTCTTCAACCTGCCCGCCCCAATTTGGCTTGCCAGAGATGATCTAACCCTTGTACCATAGAAGTCCGCCCCCATTGGTTCTTTGATAGCAGACTTGTACACTTTTTTATGAAATGTTGACAATTTCAACTTGCTCAACCATGACTGAGGTCCTGCACTCACTGTGTCTTACAACCAATCATGTCGCTAATGGTATCCCTCATCAATATTCCGTGACTGGTCGGCATTAGGCACAGGCTGTAGAGCAGAACTGCCACAGGGCTGCTAGCACGCTCTGGGCAGACCAGCAGCACCAGCAAGCGGAGCCATCATCCCTGCTCCCAGCGCTTTAAATGACGGGGCTGCAGCTGGCTGTAGAGTGGGCACAGGTGGGGGGAAAGCCCAGCAGCAGATCCTTCATGCCCGTTTTGATTTCCCATCCACTCCAGCTTCTGATCGCTTCCTGCCTAAGACTTAGGAGGTGCCACTCCTGTTACGAGGGAAGAGGAAACCCAAACCCCTCCTGTCTGTTTGGAGGAGCTCTGGCATCTTATCAGTCGGCTTAGAGCCTTTGGAAGACCATCTGAGACAAGAGGGACTATTGTGCCACAAGCATCTTATCAGCAGGTCTGATGACTGCCTGTCTTTTGGGAAATCTTGATGTAGCATCAAAGGGTTGAAAAATTTGAAACATGAATGTACCAAAAAAAAGGTTGCTGGCTAAAAGTGAACATTTTGTGTACTGGTTTCCTGTTGCTCATCTTGATGGCTGTGCCCAGTCCAAGCCCTATTCTCCACCCTGTGTTCTTTAGGCTGTTGCTGCTGTCTCTCGTCCCTTTCCTCACCTGGGTAGGCAGTGGTACTGGGTGCCAAGTGGCTTAGTATGTAGACTTGCCTGCTCCCTGCAGTAGCTACCAGGGACTCTATAGAGTAGATGGGTCTGGCATCTGTTATGGAAGCCCCTTTGTATTTGTATGTGTAACCTGTAACCATTATGGTATTTCTTTTTCCTTTTGAAGGGCCGTGAGCTGGCATTTTTGAAAGGACTTGGCAGGGACCCATTTTATGGATAAAAAGTGTGTTTTACTTAGGCAGTATCCTTTGGCTCCCAATATGGGGTTGCTGGGCTGAATCTGGGGGGAGGCGGGAGGGACGTGGTGGAAAAAGTTCTGCGGGGGCTCAGTTGTGAGGGCTACACAGAGCCAATTGTTAGGTCTGACTGATCATTGAATTTGTGACTATTGAATAAAATTGGGAGGGTTTTGAAGACTTGTTTGCAGTGGCTGGTTTCCCCCATTCCCAAGATGGGATGGAACAGCACAAATCTCTTTTCCCTTCCACTCACTGCACAAGACAAATGTGCTCTTGAGGTGTATTTAAAAGGTTTGCATTTTGTCCAAGTCTTCCTCCAGTCCTAGGAATTGGTTACAGAGTCCGGTCCTCTAAATAAATGTGTGTGTTTTATGGCCATTCAAAGATTGGGAAAAAAGCCCAGCAGGATGAAAATGTGTTTGCTTTCTTCCACAGAGAAGACCTGGCTAGAGGACAGGGTACAAAGTTTTGAATAGGTATGCAATTTCCCAACTCGTAAGCCCCGTTACGTACTTATTTGAAAGTTAGGGAAAAGGCCATCTGCTTTCAGAACTGTTTAATTTAAATTAGATTTGCATAGAAAACAAAAATCAAAACACTTCATTAAAGTAATCCTTATAGTAATCACCCCTCTTCCCATCAGTGGGGAGAAAAACACCCGCAGACATGCCGTTACTTCTGCAGTTGGCAATGTCATTCCTCACCAAACAGCAAGATGTGCACAAATTTATCTGAAGACTGTCACCTCGTTCCTTACTATTAAGAGATCAACCACATCAACATCTTAGGTTTACCTCAAAGGGGCACAGCAGCCAATGCTCCACCCAGCTCCATTCTTTAGTCGCATATTGCTGCTACAGTCCCATGCTGCTATAGGGGAGCAAAGGACTGCTGACCCAGTCAAGTAGCAGTTCGCAGAGCCTTTTGCTGAATTAAGTTGGACACCTTGCTGCTCTGGTTGGAAATAAATGGCAGTGGGACACCTCTCGGTCCACTGGAGTCTCCTTATTCCAGGCCAGGTGTTTCATGCCCCTTGAGATGGAGTGCTTTAGCATTTGTGCACTCTCCTCTGTCCATGAGCTTTCCCCTGAGGCTGGACATTCACAATCCAAACCTGGAACAAAAGTAGAGCATTATGTAGGTAGAAGCTTTATGGTCTCCCTCAACAGCTTCTCAGGGTGTCGCTCTCTGGTTGTAAGTTGCGTAGTGGTTTGAGGAAAGAAACCCATTACTCTGGTTCTGCTATTTCTTAGAACGCTTTAGAGGAAAAGACAGCATTTGAGAGCCACAATATTTTTCAGAACGTACTGTATGCCATTTGAGACTCCTGCCAGCATCCTCCTTCATATCGACAGGTGGGCTGAGGTGTTCAGGTGAGGATGTGTGCTTCTACTATGCTGGGCTATTGTTGTTTGGGGGACAGGGGGGATGATGGTGGTGTTTGGTTTCTGGAAGAAATACAGCTGGAAGAGAAAAAAAAGATGGGCTAGAGCTGAACTCGGAATAGAACAGATGCCACCCGCCCAGAACAATTAATGTCAGTTTTTCAGAAATTTCCGAACAGTTCTAAGAATTCATTGGAGTAAGAAAAAACCTCAAATACCAAAAAATAAAAGCAAAGTCTACATTTCTAAAATATGTGATATAGTAGCAAATACATTTAGCTCTCGCATGGGCTGGTCCATGAGATCACGAAGAGTTGGAAGTGACTGATCAAAAAACAAAAAAGCAAATACGAAGGCTTTCATGGCCGGAATCGCTGGGTTGTTGTAGGTTTTCCGGGCTATATGGCCATGTTCTAGAGGCATTTTTTTATGCTTGCCATAGATGCAGGCGAAACGTCAGGAGAAAATGCCTCTAGAACATGGCCATATAGCCCGGAAAACCTATAACAACCCAAATACATGTATTTAGGCCTCTGGAAAATTTCTGATGCATCCCCATAAGTGTCAGCAAGAGACTAAGGTTTCAAAAGATATTTCCAGATATGCCATTAGAAGTAGTAGGGTCTCCCTCGTGATCAAGTGTAAATCACATATACGGTTACTCCTGTGCTTGTGTTTCGGAAAATTCTAGAGACAAGGTGACCACTTGGAGAAACATGGTTACAGGTAAGCAGCCCATACTTCAGTGCCAATGTCCCAAATTCTGCAAATTACTCAGTTTTAAAAGGATGATGGAGTATCACCCCGTATTTCCCATTTTATGGAGAAATACTCCAGTTTCTGCTTCTGGAAGGTTTTTCACTCATGCGCTACAAGTAAAAATAGTACAGCACTTTGGAGAAAAAAACCATTTGTACAACTAATTAACCTGTTGCCATCCTATTCCAGTTTGATACAATAAAAAAGCGTGCCATTATAAATATACATAAATCTGGAATTCACAATTACAAATGTGTAACCTGGAGTTACACATTCATGAAAGGTTCTTATTCATTACCCACTAAGTATTTAATAGTGTAGGGATCACAAAAGCCAATCGGGAGATACTGAACAGCAGCCACTGCAAATGACCAGAATCGGTCCTACTGATCAAGATGCAGCACAATTATGTTGTACCTCAGCAAGTGGTGTGAAGAAGAAAAAATACTATCCAATTACTGACTTGCAGGGGAGATTGCTTGTAAGGGGGGAGGGGGGCTGTGAACAGGAATCTGCTGCATCCCAGTTGACAGAAGAACAGACCCCTGTTACTTACTGGTAAATCCAGATGGGTGATTAAGGCTGGGAGTTGCTATCTAGCCTAATAACTAAGATAGTGTGGTGATAAAGTAGATCATCCAGAATCACATCCAATATAAGTAAATAGCTTTGTTTACAGAACATAACTTGTCTTCTAGGACAACACAATCACCACATTGTACAATTAATATATCCCTTCTAGGAGCTGACTGAAGTCCAAAAAGGAAAAAAGGTTGAAATTCCGATTTGATCATTTAATCTATGCTGCCTCCCAACAGACTACACTGTTTTCCTATTCACTGGATAATGACTTCACCCAAAAGGTCTAAGGAATACACAGTTTTTGTTGGATAATGGAGGGTGGGGTGTGTGTGAATAGTATGCAGAATCCCAATTCAAATTTCAGTATTCATCTTTGGACAGAGTGGGAACAGTAATATAATGCTATAATTATACTCTAGGCCTTCTCTGAATAAAGGAATCTGCACATCCAGGGTGTCTTCCATTGCCCAGAGAAATGAAGGGTTTGTTTTTTTTTTTGGTGTCAGGAGCAACTTGACAAACTGCAAGTCACTTCTGGTATGAGAGAATTGGCCATCTCCAAGGACTTTGGCCACATCATGAGGAGACGGCAAAGCCTAGAGAAGACAGTTATGCTGAGGAAAGTAGAAGGTAAAAGGAAGAGGGGCCAACCAAGGGCAAGATGGATGGATGGCATCCTTGAAGTGACTGGACTGACCTTGAAGGAGCTGGGGGTGGTGACGGCCGACAGGGAGTTCTGACGTGGGCTGGTCCATGCGGTCACGAAGAGTCGGAGACGAATGAACGAATGAACAACAACAAGGACATTGTGCAGGGAACGCCCGGATGTTTTACCATGCTGTGGAAGGCTTCTCTCATGTTCCTGCACGAGAAGATGGAGCTGACAGACAGGAGCTCACCTTGTTCCCCAGATTCAGACTGCCGACCTTTGGGTCAACAGTCCTGCCAGGACAAAGGTTTAACTCATTGTGCCACTGGGGGGGGGGGGGGGGGGGGGCAGTTGGAAGTTTTGTGATATCTGAATAAAAGACTAAACTGATCCTTCCCAGCTTGGCCATCTTAGCTTTCCGTTCTTTTTCTTGATTGCACCCAGACGAGAGCTGGTTTTTTTCACTCCCTATTCTCCCTCCCACTTTTGTTCCTTTTCAGATTTTATCTCTATTTCCTTAGTTTATCTGACTTGTTGTTTTATGCACATGTCTAATATTAACCATTTGGATGTTTCTACAAGAAGTCATACTGAAAATAACAGAATTATTTTAAATTAGTGACTATTTTAAGTGTTTAACCAACCATTCATAGCCCTGAAATTCTGGTCCTTATTTTACAGCCCATTTACATCTAATTTAAAGTGAGGAGGGTATACATCTTTTTAAATGTCATTTTACTTCCAACATGGAGTATTTTGCCATCACTCTTAATATAACGCATCCCTGCAAACCTGTTTTTAAATCTGCCCTAGCAGACATTAAAAACGATACTGGCAGCTGTCTTAATATTCCTTTGGGACATGCTCCCTCAGCACCAACAAGTGGAGCTAAGCAGCCAGTTAGTGTAAGCAGCATTTCACTCCCTAATTTTTCCCCTGACTAAAGATGAGAAAAGAGCAGGCTGTATGTAGTCAAATGTATGTCTGAAAAAAAATATTCTACCAACCTAATTGGCCCTAGGAGATGTGGCAGACAATTCTGCCACTTTTTGCCCCTCCACCAGACTGTTTTAGGTCAAGAAAAAGAAAAGATTTCTGGAAAAGACAAAGCTAGCCAACAATGTGTTTTTTTGTTGTTTTTTTTGTCGTGTCAAGAGTGAGTTGAGAAACAGCAAGTCGCTTCTGGTGTGAGAGAATTGGCAGTCTGCAAGGACGTTGCCCAGGGGACACCTGGATGATTTGATGTTTTTATCATCCTTGTGGAAACCTTATCTCATGTCCCCGTATGAGCTGGAGCTCATCCGCCTCTCTCCGGATTCGAACCTGCAACCTGTCCTGCCGGCACAGGGGTTTAACCCACTGCGCCACCGGGGTACATTTATGGTACACCTGGGGGCAAAAAATTCAACATTTCATTTAGAGGATCCAGCAGGTCCCCAAGGTCATTTGGTGCTCCCCCTCCCTCAGACTTTAGACTTAATAATAATAATAATAACAACAACAACACTTTATTTGTACCCCGCTACCATCTCCCCAAGGGATTCGGTGCGGCTTACATGAGGCCGAGCCCAAATACAACAATACTCGCAATAATAACAACAATACAAGCAATTAAAATAAAAAACATGGACAATAAGATATGCAACATTAACAATAAGACAGCACACAATTAAAACTATGGGAAGGCCAAATGTAAAATTAAAATTGAAAATAATGGTGGAGCATGGGCGAAAAGGTCGCTTCTCGGCCTTTTGGCTAAGATCAAGTGTTGTGTAGGTGGTAGTGGCATTTGTGGAAAACATACAAGCAGACCTAAAATATAAAGTGCTTCGGAGGACAAAGTGCTATGGGATCATTATTCTGGGAAGGCACACTGGAACAACCACGTCTTCAAGCTCCTCCTAAAGACTTCCAGAGTTGGGGCCTGCCTGATGTCCCTAGGGAGTGAGTTCCAGAGTCGAGGGGCCACCACCGAAAAGGCCCTCTCTCTCTTCCCCACCAATCGCGCCTGTGATGCTGGTGGGGTCGAGAGCAGGGCCTCTCCAGATGATCAAAGAGATCGTGTGGGTTTGTATACAGAGATGCGGTCACGCAGGTAAGCGGGTCCCAAACCGTTCAGGGCTTTGTAAGTAAGAACTTAGGGTCTCCCTCTTGTGTGCCTTCAAACAACTTGAAGGCACACAACAATTCTAATTAACTTGACTATCCCATCAGCCAAAAGCAGGCCCACACGTCTAATTGAAATCCTCGTAAGTTTGTTGATCAAAATTGTTTTTCATTTTAAATCTTGTATTGTGCTTTCCTGATTTTTTTTTTTTTTGCACTACAAATAAGATATGTGCAGTGTGTACAGGAATTTATTTCTGTTTTTTTCAAACTATAGTCCAGCCCCCAACAGTCTGGGGGACCACAACCTGACTCTTGGCTTTAAAAGTTTGAGGACCCTTGACGTAGGCTTACAGGTCAAATCCGACCACCACACCATTTTATGTAGCCCAAGAGGCTTTCAATGCCAAGGCAACATAGTTATATATACAATATTACAATTGGCCCTTTGAAGGCAACCACAAAGCTGACGTGGCCCTTGGTGGAAATGAGTTTGACACCCCTGCTCTAGACTTAACAGTTGCCCATCCCAACATAGGTGAAATAAAAGAAAGCATACCTTGCAGCCAATGGCTAGGAGGACGTGCAGCGAAATAATGATAGCCAATATGGCAAAGGCAGCAGGTTTCGTATCCGCACGGATAACTGGCCAAAACGTGAGAACCAGAACTGAGCCGGACAGCCCCATTGCAAATACGATTAGGAGCCACTGCAGCC